TTTCAATGACACGAGCCACCAGCGAGCAGTTTGTGTGTTGAGTCGCTCAACAAAGAAACAGATTCAGAAAAGTGCCCGGAGGGAATCAGGAACAGAGGTTCCCTCTGGGTGTGTTTACGCAGTTTCCCAGAGAACGTGCAAAACTAGACCAGACGTCCCTACAACGTCAGACTGCCTTTGTTGCCGGCCCGGCCCCCAGCCCAGAAGCAGCTGCTTCAGTGAGAGCACGATCAGCACAGACAGCACACGGTCTTCAGCAGGGTGCTCATCACACCGTCTCGAACTGAAGGACGGATCCACCCCTGTCTACACCGTGGAATGAGTGAGCTCGATGGGAGCTCCATGCCAGGTACACGAGACGCGGGGTCTGAAGGACGACAGCCTCGCCTTCAGAAAAGAAACAAGGTCACTTTCATGAGCTCAGGGCTCCCCCAGGGGCCATGCAAGGCCACAGGCCGGGAACCATTGAGTGAATCACAGAGCGAAGAGCTTGAAGACACAGAGAGCCATCGAGACGGAACTTATGGGGATCTGCCCCCAGGGCAGCCACAGCCCTGGGATTTAAAACTCAATTCCTCGTTTCCTGCTTTGGCCTTTCTCCTGCTTGTATGTCCAGCGTGGTGGTCGAGGAGGAACACAGGGTCCAGCGGGAGCACGAGCCGTGGGAGGAGCCCCAGGAGGAAGGCTCCGTGGCGGGCGGGGCAGAGAGCTGCGCCCACTGAAAGGCAGGCCACGCCACGGCCACTGTGCACCACCTTCACCAGTCCCGCCCACACCGCCCTCCCACTTCCTCCCATGAGCACCGGACACCAGCCCTCCGGAAGGCCTCTCCCTCCATGTCCCCTTCTCCCCATCCCCCGCGCTTCTCTGCATCTAGACGTCTGAGCGGCAGCTGCTGAACACAGTGGGGGACAAGACAACCGTGACACACGTGGGGAGAAAGGCCGCCTCTCCCCGCACGCACGCCGGGTGCTGAAGACACCATGGAAGCCCCTCTCGGGGGGGAGGAGGGATTCATCATTCCCCCGAGTGTCAGCCCGAGGTCTGCGGGGAACAGACCAGCAGGACACGTGTGTGTGTGTGTGTGTGTGTGTGTACACAATTAAGATACTATTTTAAGGAACTAGCCTGTGTGACTGTGGGGGCTGGCAAGTCCACAATTTGTAAGACAGACCGGCAAGCTGGGAACTCGGGCAGGCTTTCTTTTTTTTTTTTTTTTTTAAAGATTTATTTATTTATTTGACAGAGAGAGACACAGTGAGAGAGCGAACACAAGCAGGGGGAGGGGGAGAGGGAGAAGCAGGCTCCCCGCTGAGCAGGGAGCCTGATGCGGGGCTCAATCCCAGGACCCTGCGATCATGACCTGAGCCGAAGGCAGACGCTTAACGACTGAGCCCCCCAGGCGCCCCTCGGGCAGGCTTTCTATATTACAGTCTTGAGCCCGAATTTTGTCTTCCCTGGGAAACGTGTTTTTTTTGTTGTTTTTTTTTTAAGGCTTCCCACTGATTAGAGGAGGGCCATCCACATTACTAGGGAGGATTAACCTCCTTTACTCTAAGTCCCCTGGCTGTAGATGTTAACCGCATCTACAAGACACCTTCACAGCCCCCCCAACGCTAGGGTCCGATTAGATGGCTGGGTGCGCCTCGCCAAGCTCGCCCAGCAAACCAGCCACCACACTGTTCTCTCTCCCTGGCTGCCTGCACTCCACCTTCACACAGACTTTCTACGCCTTCAGACTTCTTTCCTCTCTAATTTCACAATCAAGATACATTTGGTTTTTTTCTTTGTTCCTTTGACTGAGCAATCCAAAGCACAAAGGATCCCTGATGTCGTTCACTCCATGCCAGGATGCAAGACATGGTACCTGTAAGAGGGAAGTGTCTCCTTCACTCCAGACCCCAGAGCGCTGGACAGGAGGTCAGGAGGCCTGGAGACCACAGACTCGGCCACTAACTTATTTTGCATTCCCATGTATCCATCTCTCTAGAATTCCATTTTGCCTGTAAATTAGGAATAAAAATGCCTACCTCACTGGGTTGTCGAACATCAAATGAGAACATTCAGAAGAACATTTGTGAGCTTTAAAATTCTGTGCACCAGGAAAGATTCATCATCATCACCACCACCATCACCTTCATTTTCTTCACTATCACCACCATCACCATCATCACTTTATAGGTTGAATTTGTCCCCCCCCCCACCAAATTCAAATGGTGAAACTGTAACCCCCAATACGTTGGTATTTGGAGATAGGGCTTTTAGGGAGGTGATTACGGTTACATGTGGTCATACGGGTGGGGCCCCAACAGATGGAATTGTTTCTACGAGGAGAGGATGGGACAGCAGAAAGCACCCCCCCCACCGTGTGCACAGAGGAAAGGCCAGTGAGTAGTTCACCATCTATTAGCCACGAAGACAGGCCTCACCAGAAACTACATTTGTTGGCTCCCTGACCTTACACTTCTAGCCTCCAAAACTTCGAGAAATAAACGTCTGTTGTTTACTCCGCGCGGCCTGTGGTTTTCTGCTGTGGCCGGTGAGCTGACCAAGGCAATCCCCACCATCAGCATCCCTGCCTAATACACACCCAAGTAACAATGTAAGAGCTTCTCCTCCTCCCCCACTTCTCCTTAAAAATCATCTCTCTTGGGATTCTCAAGCCCCTGCAGGCACCAGGATTTCTAGGAGGCTTCTCAAAACCCAGAGCACAAAGCCCTGCCCTTGAGCTTCTGACTCAGTGGGACTGGGAGGCTGGGGGCTGCGTATTTGCATTTTCTCTCAAGTCCCGAAGTGTTGCTGATGCTGCTGCTTCAGCATTTGGATGAAATCATTAAGCAAATGCTTGGCCAGATGAACTCGTGAAACGGTCCAAGATTTCTTAGAACAGCAGCTGAGGATCATGAGCGTTTTGCACGGACCACTTCTGATCCCCTTAAACAACACAGCAAGCCATCATTCCCCCACACACTCAACAGGAAGGAACTCTTCTTCCATAACCGGGAGGCGGGCGCTGTGACGAGAATGAGAGCCGGGCACTTCGCAGGTGGGGATCCGCGGGCTGGATCACATCTCCATATCATTGCAGCACGAGAAGGCGGGAGATGAGAGGGATGGAACCAGCTCCCCAAGTCAGTGGAGTGCATCCGGGCATGCAGAGCAGGCACCCCAGGCTCTGATCCCACCTGTTCCATAAGCAACCTTCGCAGGGCACAAAGTCCTATCATTCAACTGCATTTTGCATAACCGTCTTCCAGAACCATTTGGGCACTTGGGACAGACAGCCTTGCACTGGAGTGGGCTGGGAGCGTGTACAAGGCATCCTGCCAGGACTCCCGTAGGACTGCCCCGTGCCAGGGGATCACTGCCTGGGGTGACGGTTTAGCAGGACGGACCAACAGGGAGGCCACCTACGTGCCATCTGTCCCGGATGCCCTGCAAGGCTGTGTCCCTGGAGCGCCAGGTGGCGGTCACAAGGCATTGCCCCAGAGAGCCAGAAAGGGCTCTTTTGCATTACCCAAGGATCAAAGGCATCAGCTGTCCTTTTTAAGCAATTTAAACAATGTTTTGACTTAAAAAAAAAAAAAGAGGACCAACGACATGCATAATTTGGTGGCAAAGGAAATCTTTAAACAAAGACTACCACCAAGCCACAGCAAAGCCCAAAGGGGCAGACATGGCCACAAAGAAGCGGATGGTGCCACGGCTCCCTCTAATCACCACTGGCAAGAAGACATTTTCCCGGAGAGTAACCGCAGTCTTTCTAGACCCATGAACAAACCAGAAAGTCACCTCTGCGAAATATTCCCATTTTGCTCTAACCACCTGAAAGCCATGAGATTCGAAACAATCCAGGCCCACCGCAATGAGCGAACTAAGTGAACTTTTAATGGTGGTTATAAGATGTTCTGCCCAGTGTTTCAATTAAACTGGTTCATTTTCAAGACATCAAACGTGTACTTATTAGTAATGCCTCAGAAAGGTATTAGGAAAACCATCCATGTGTGTCAGTTCTAAATTAAAGACCTCTCTTGGCTCAAGAAGATGCAAAAATTACTTCCAAATAAAAATGACAGTCACTTAGATTTTCAGTCAAGTGGAGATTAGCGGACAGTGTTTGCCATAACTTAACGCATCAGCCAAAAAAAAAATTCGTTTCCACCCTAAACCATCCGGTCAGCTGCATCGAAATCAGATGAGCCCCGTGTCCGTGTGATGGGATTTTACTCAGTCAAGAGGGACGGAGCCCTGGCACGTGCCACCACATGGACAACCCTTGAAACTGGTCTGCTGAGAGAAAGCAGCTGGACACTGAAGGTCACATGTGGTGTGGTTCCTTTTCTATGAAATGCCCAGAACAGGCAAAGCCACAGACAGACAGTGGATCAGTGGTTGCAGGGGCCTCGGGGGTGGGGGAGAGTGGGGAGCAATGGCTGATGAGTGGGGGGGCACAGGGTTTTGTTTGGGGGTGATGCAATTCACACAGTAGTGATGCTTGCACAACATCGGGAATGTTCTTACGGCCACTGAAATGCACCCTTGGAAGTGGTCGAAATGGTCAACGTTGTGTGATATGCATTCTACCACAATTTAAACATAATTAGGACGGCAGCTTTGCACCCCCCCCCACCCCGCCATGGAGCACCTTGCCGACCGACACTGGTCCAGGGTTGCTCCCCTCCACTCAGGGACCACAGGCCCCATGGGGGTGCCAGAGATGACAGGCCGCCACCCCAAAACAGACTCATGAAGGCTTTTCCAGAGCTGCCTTCTCCAACACCCCACAAAGACGAGTCGCTGCAGGGAACAACTGACTGAAATGTGTCAGCAGCTCCAGCACGAAGAAGGGATGGCACCAGGAGCACACAGCCTCCGAACGCAGGCGACGTCCCCGGTGAGACGGGCCCGCCTCACGTCCAACACATGGGTCCACGCGGAACCCCGCGTGGCCTCCCGCGACCGCGCACACGCAGGGGATGCTGGCTCTGCGAGCCCCTCACCTGGAACGGAGTCTGGCTGTTGTGGTTCTTCTGTTCCTTGTTCCCGCCCCGGAAGAGCAGCACTCTGGCACAGCTATCCTGCAGGTGGAAAGAGAGAAAACGGTTTGTGGGTCGGCAACACAGACAGGCTCCAAAGGAACAGGCTCAGAGGCTCGGCTCCCAGGGGAACTGGGGACGTGCCCGGGTAAGGTCCCCAGGGGGCCCCTCTGCTCATCGGAGTGGTGAGGAGGAGGGCGAGCGGCCCCACACCCTATGAGGTGAGGCTTAACTTTTGCAAACACTTTGGATGAATTGGCAGAATCTACACAAGTGTCTAATCCGTGCATCCCATGGCCAAACAATTCGACTCTTTAAGACTGCCCTATAGAACGTCTTGCGTGTATGTATAAAATATATAACAGGAAAAATACCGGAAGGAAAACACAACAAAAAAGAGAAAACCCGGAGGCAGCATAAATGTTCTAAAATAAGGGACAGTGGGAATGCATTCTAGAACATTCTTCACCTAGAAAGTTGTAGGAAAAAAACAGGTAGATCCACAAACCTGTAAAGAAATACACCAAGAACTTCCAGGTAGAAAACACAGACTTTCCAAGTAGAGAGTCTCATAACAATAATACAGTGTAACTCCGTTTATGTTTGAAAAGCCTCAAGGGGATGAATGAACAAACCGTAAGCACCAGCAGCTGCCAGTTCCGAGCGGGAGTGACCTGGCCAGTTGGAACCAGGACTCCAGAGCCCTGCAAGACCCCCGCCTCTGCAATCTCTTACAAATGCTCTGTACGGCCCAACGAGGATGCTCGCTGGAAAGTCCCATCATAAACACGAGAATAAATCCTCACCAGGTACCGCCATTCATGCCCTCCCAGGTGGGACCCAGCCAGGGGCCCCCTCCCACCAAGGGAAGATTGTGAGTCAATATTAACCAAGCCTGAGACATGGTCCATCACTCTCCTGTTAATCAGAGTCCACGTGAGATCACGTTCCAGAGCTATCTCAAAAATAAAGGGCAAATGGTTTGCTCAGCTTGGTAACAATCATACCTTGTGTGTGCAAATGTGTATGCAAGTGTGTGTGTGTACACGCGTGTGTGCAGAAGTGTTTGTGGGAACTTGTGTGTAGGAATGTGTGTATGCACATGTGTGCGGGTGTGTGTGCAGCTCTGTGAGTATGCACATATGGGGCAGGCGTGTGTGGGCATGTGTGTATGCATGTGTGTGTATGCATGTGTATGCATGTGTGTGTGCAGCTCTGTGAGTATGCACATATGGGGGCAGGCGTGTGTGTGTGTGTATGCATGTGTGTGGGCATGTGTGTGCAGCTCTGTGAGCATGCACGTATGGGGGCAGGTGTGTGTATGCATGTGTGTATGTGTATGCGTGTGTGTGTACGCATGTGTGTGGGCATGTGTGTGCAGCTCTGTGAGTATGCATGTATGGGGGCAGGCATGTGTGTGTATGCATGTGTGTGCAGCTCTCAGTATGCACGTATGGGGCAGGCGTGTGTGGGCATGTGTGCATGCATGTCTGTGTGCATGTGTGTGTGCAGCTCTGTGAGTATGCACTATGGGGACAGGTGTGTGTGCACATGTGTGTATACATATGTGTGTGCATGTGTGTATGCATGTGTGTGTGCAGCTCTGTGAGTATGCACGTATGGGGCAGGCATGTGTGGGCATGTGTGTGTGCATGTGTGTGTGCAGCTCTGAGTATGCACGTATGGGGGCAGGCGTGTGTATGCATGCGTGTATGCATGTTTGTATGCGTGTGTGCATGTGTGTGTATGCATGTGTGTGCAGCTATGTGAGTATGCACGTATGGGGACAGGTGTGTGTGGGCATGTGTGTGTGCATGTGTGTGTGTGCATGTGTGTGTGCAGCTATGTGAGTATGCACGTATGGGGACAGGTGTGTGTGGGCATGTGTGTATGCATGTGTGTATGCATGTGTGTGGGTATGTGTGTCTGCAGCTCTGTGAGTATACACGTATGGGGCAGGCATGTGGGCATATGTGTGCATGTGTGTATGCATGCGTGTGTGCAGCTCTGTGAGTATGTACGTATGGAGACAGGTGTGTGTAGGCATGTGTGTATGCATGTGTGTGTGCATATCTGTGTGCATGTGTGTGCAGCTCTGTGAGTATGCACGTATGGAGGCAGGCATGTGTGGGTATGTGTGTACACACGTGTGGAGGTGCGCATGTGTGCAGGCCTCTGTGTGCAGGCACACATGTATGCAGATGTGTGCAGGTGTGTGTACACATGTGTCTGTGAGCGTGTGTGTACAATGTATCAAAGGCCACAGATGGGCCTGCCTGAGGTCACCGCGGGAGAGAATGTGGGCCACGGGCATGTGCGGCACATGGGGGTGGCGACTGCCCCCAGCGGGAGGGATGGAAGCCTGACAGGGTGGCAGGTGGGGAAAGCTTGTGGGAGCTGCCAGGGAAGGTCAGTGGGGTCTGGACACAAGCAAACGGGCAGACGGAGGAGATGAGAGAGGGCGCGACCAGATGCAGGTTATGGGTTTGCCCAGAACAGCCCTGTCAAGGACAGAGCCAGGGTTTAAAAAATTCTGAATTTCCACGTCCCACCCGGTGCTTTCATCTCCATGGCATGGAGCCGATGTCCCCGATGTGATTTACTAAATACTCCAAATTGTAAGTCGGGAACTCGCTTCCAGTTTGAACTATCCTCTGACACGCGTCTGTGCGGACAGACGGAGATCTAAGAAGAGGTAAAATGCCAGCATCGCTGAAGAGGGAGGGTGGGAGTGGGAAGATGGGTGTCACCAGAGTGGCTGGAACCCGGCCCCTTGGAAGAGCAGCGCCCTAAAGACCACATCTGACCATGCCGTGGACCACGGCGCCTGTGCCTGACCTGGGCCCAGGGGAGCCCCGTCCCCACCCCAGCCACGGGCCACGGGAATGTGTCCCCGCAGCCTCAGGGCAAAGAAATACAGGGCGGGTTGGAAGCCCAGCTTTGCCACTTACTAGCTGAGCTGCCGAGGACCAAGCATCCATCTCCTGACTCGTAGGAGAGAATGTCAACCAATGGCAGCCACTGAAGGCTCCCTGGGGATCAAAAGGGAAAGACCATGTGGACGCCCTCCTTCCACGACATACACACCCCCAGTGCCCCTGAGGATGACGACCCCCCATGACGGCCCCGGGGAGGCAGCCACCGTGCTGACCGGTGCTCTGCTGACACCAGAGAGCCACAGAGATGCAGCCTGTCTCTTCTTTGCTTGGGTCTCCCTGGAATGAGAGGCAGGGCTTATTTCTCATCCTCCCCACAAATTGGTCTGGCCTAGTAACCTTTGATATGTAAGACTCCCTCCCTTCCTTCATTATCTGAGCCAGAAAAACAAATTCCAGGCTGCTTCCCTCCCTCTGGGTCTCCAGAAAAAGCCAGCAAGAAGCTGAGGGGCCTGTCAGATTAGACACAATTTGCTGCTTACAATCAAAGCCCTAATTAGTTGATTTCATAAGAGAAGGGAATATTATGATCAGTGTATTTTATTAGAAGCGTGCAGATGAGGCCTGCCTAAAATTGATAAAACACACACATCAAATCCATAAACCTGGATGCTTTTAGATTTAACAGGGAGAGGCTTGGCAAGGCAAATTAGCAGCAGCAGGACCATCACCACCATCACCATCACCAGCATCATCACCATCAGCACCATCAACACCATCATCATCACCATCATCACCACCATCATCATAACCAGCAGCATCATCACCACCATCACCACCATCATCACCATCACCACCATCATCATTATCACCATCATCATCATCACCATCAGCACCATCAGCAGCAGCAGCACCACCATCACCAGCATCATCACCATCATCACCATCAGCATCATCACCAACATCAGCACCATCATCATCACCATCATCACCACCATCATCAT